TCTGGCGGCCCCTGATCCACCGCTCTGGCGGCCCCTGATCCACCGCTCTGGCGGCCCCTGATCCGCCGCTCTGGCGGCCCCGTCCCGCCTTTCAGACCCTCCACTCTGCTATTAAACACTCATTCACATGATAATACGGAGCCTTAACATAATAAAGGATCCAATCTCCACCATCCAACTGTCTCACGGCTGCATTTATGAAAACATGACGCTCTGAAGCATCTGGAGGAGCAGCCATGTCACCACCGGGTCGCAGAGCGCCACCACCAGAACCACGGAACGGATCAGAACCGGGTCAGTGAGGAAACACCAGATATTTAACCTTTATGCTGCTGCCGGCGTTTATTCATACCTTTAAATAAAAACCATCTCTGATTAGGCAGATAACCAATTAAAATAAATAACCAGAATATTCTGATGAGTTACTTTACATAATGAATGTTTAAAATGAACATTTATTTTGCTGCCCAAAATTATAAGAGGATTTAAATATCTGTTATTTATCAACTATTTGGTGAAGTTGAAATAAAAACGTATATATATATATATGTATATATATATATATATATATATATATATATATATATATATATATATATATATATATATATATAGTCTACTTATTAGTCTATGGTTATTATATATATTTTATATATATTGAATGAATAAAATCAAATATAGCATAATTCATAAAACTATAAATATAATATTTATAAAGCAATGTTGTATTTTCAAATTAAAATACATCATAATTGTGGATTGAAGTAAATTTTGTCTAAAATTTCTTAAACTATAAAGATATTTTTCAAGCAGCCAAATAAATGAAATCTTAGATAAAAACAGCAATAATTAAAAATTCAGCTGAATTTTTTTTTTTAAAGAATTTTAAAAGTGTTCAAATTGTTTTATCTTGGATATAATGTATATCTTTCAATACCAACAGAGTAAACAAAACAAAACAAAAAAACGGCTGAAAATAAATTATTTTTGCTTCAAAAGATTAAAATATTGTGGAATAAAAAAATGAGAATAAAATCTAAGAATCAGCCTGTTCTGCTAAACGCAGCCTGTTCGGATGTTCTGGCCCGTTTGGACCCGGTTCCAGGCGGTTCCTCTGTGGTTTGGCTAAGGCAGCTCTCGCTGAGATGTGGCCGATCATAACTCTGCAGAACCGTGAATGTGCAGCAGCAGAGCGAAGGCACGTCCATGCGCACCCAGGGCCCGCTCATCAGGCCCTTCAGAACGGGCCCCGGAGACGCGATTTGGATTGGTGTGCACAGGCAGAGAGCACAATCGGACCGGGCTAATCCCCCCGCTCAGCTGGAGAGGCTCCTCGCCTCATTAATTCATTCAGGATAAAGATCAATATTTAGCAGCGGCGCTGCGAGGAGCTTTCGCCACATTCCTGCTCCAGGGTCACTTCAGCAGAACAGCTCCTCCCTGCAAATTCTGCTCCGGCCCGGTTTAATTCCAGGTCACGGACAGAGTTCATTAGCTCTGCGGGTCAGTCTACCTTCTGCTCTGAGTGCAGGTTGGAGAAGTGAGGACCTCATCATCTGCTCCGGGAAGCAGAGGTCGCTCTCTGACGGCAGCCATGTTTGCTCCCAGCAGATAAAAGGTCTGGTTCTTCATTAGCGGGTCGAGTCCACAGGTGATCCAGCAGCATAGCCGGATGGGTTCAGTGAAAGTGTCGGAATCTTCAGGGTAGCAGCGCAGGGTCTGCTGGGTTCCACCAGGTGGGGTAAAGTTATTCATGATGGAAGAGCTTTGAGCTCCCATCAGAGATGCTTCCAAACATTCCAGGTTCAAAGAACCGGACCAGAATCCCAGGATTCCTCAGCTAAGGTCCTCATTCCTCCATCATGGACCCGGCTGTTCTGATCATTCTGATCGCCACGTGGGCGATTAAAGTCGTAGGGAAGTCATATTTAAAGGTCAAATCATTCTGGCTTAAACATGTATATAAATATTCTCTTTATCAGACAATATTATCCTAAAAGTTAGAAAATTACTATTTAAAAACAAAATCCTGTCTTAAAATCTGTTTTTTTTAGTTATCTTCTGCAGGCCAGTTAGTTCTATGTCAGCCTGAACACCTAAATTCTGCCAATCGTATATCAACGGTCACCTGCTAGCGTTAGCCCTGGCCGCCGCAGACGGGCTAGCGTTAGCCCTGGCTGCCGTTACTCTCGGAGCTCCACTGTTTTCCTCTTTCCTCTCAACTTCGGAAAGTGTTTTTAAAATTACACATTAAATCAGTAAATTGGCCATATATTGATGCTTAAAAGTATAATGTTCTCGCCTCAAACGATCTTAAAGCGTCCCTTTTTTGAACAACAGATAAGATAACTTTTTACTTAATACTCTGAGCTCCGTTAGCGCTCCATTGAAAGGAGACGGAGGAGACTCATCCACGACCTCCGACACTAAACTCTCCTCCTCTTGCATGTTTCCGCTGTCCATAGCGTTCCTTGACAGCGTCGTTTCTAAGTCACCAATTTAGCGCTACTTGGTCCCAATGGAATTTCTCATTGGGAACCTGCTAGCACTAAGATGCTAACTGGTTAGCAAGATGCTTCCCACAAATCGGCCACAATCAAACTTGCTTGAGAACCTTCCTCCACAACAATCCCGCCCCCTTGATAAACGACCAATCACATTCACTTTATTCACTCCTGTAAAGTCGGGCACCACTCAGGAGAATTCGGAAATGCAGCGGTTGGAACGGCCGCTTCCCTACGACTGGAGAGGAGTCAGAGTTCGGGCACCTGCAGACAAACCCGATGGCTAAAGTGGACCCTGGTTAGAATATGACCCAAACTGATCAGAACCGGACCATTTTCCCATTAGTGGTTCTGATCAGAGGTCTGCAGGGGCAGATCTCCCTCCCTAATCAAAGAATGGATCAGAACCAAAGGCAGTGATGGGCCTGGTACCTGTCCCTGTTTCACCTGAAGGTCGCCACTGTGGGACGCCACAGGACGCCTCTAGTCCTCCGTTTCCTGGCCTCAGACTAACGACTCACAGAACCTGCAGCACATGGACCCACTTAGGGGTTCTGGTCCAGAACCGGTTTTCCAGAACCGTATGGAAGGATGGGATGGCCTCTATCATAGCAGGGGGCGTCACATGGCTCAGAACAAGTTCCTGATGTTTTAACAGATGACTCAGACCAGAACCCAGACCTGGTTCTGGTATCGATCCCAGGGTTACCTGGTAGTAGTAGCGCAGCACCCAGCACAGCCCCTCCACGTAGGACCGGACCACCTTCTTCCTGAAGCCCTCGTCGGACACGTCCACATCAAACTTGGTCTTGTAGTACCTCTGCTTCCAGCCCTCCTCCCACAGCCTGCAGAGAACAAACCCGGTTAGGATCCACATCTGACCCGGTTCTACCAGCCAGGCGGGTCAGCTGCTGCTTTAGAACTAATGGCTCCATCTATAGGCTGAAAAACTGCAGGAATACTTTAAAAGCAGCCAAGCTGCTCTGCACACATAATCAGAACCGGCCAGCATCTGCGGCGCCGGTTCTGGAGGAGCCCGGCGGGAGCGCCGCCTCCTGACAGGAAAGCCGGCATGAATACCAATTTAGCTCGCTGGATTTAGGAGCTTTGAGGAGGAATTCACTCCAACGTTCCCGCTTTCCATATTAATCACGCTCAGAGCGGCGGCGGGGGGGCGGGGGGGTTAATGAATGCAGCCCGATGATCATAGATCCAGTTCATTACAGTCAGCTGGAAGGAAACTTTCTGAGCGTTTCTGATGTCATCAAGCTAACATGACATCTGATAAGTTAGCAGTGAGTGTTCACCAGAAATGGCTGGGAGGCTGGGGGGCACACTGGGAAACATAAACTCTCAGATCTGCATTCAGAGGGATGATGAAGGTCTGACCTGACATTGTCTTCAGGTTCCGGCTCGCTGTCACTGTCCTCGGCTTTCCTTTTGGCTCCTCTGCTGTCTGGACCGTCGCTGACGCCTGCAGACGACTGAGCAGGGCAAAGAGAACCCACAACACAAAGAGAAGAGAATAAATTCAACCTCAGAGGTCAAAACATCCGGATCACAGCGTATGTTCT